AATTGTAACACTCCTATTTTGTTTAATTTTAATGTTAATTGCGGACTATGTTTTTGGGCCAGGCAGAGTCCTTTTTATTATTAGCTCAATAATCATTTTAGCTATTATCCTTGACTCCTTGTAATGTTGGCTTTGTACTCCCAAGGTGATCAATCCATAAAGATTGCCACTATTTTTTATTCGAATAATGATGTTGGCATTATAATTAATACAATAATGTCATTTTTGGCAATATTGGCATTGTCATTGTCATTCTTACAATGTCATTTTTGTAGTATTGATATTAATATTACTACGTATTTGACATTGTAATAATTTTTTGACATTTTGATAGATTCTAACATTGTAATTGACATTGACATTTTTATTGACATTGTGGTTGGAATTGTCTATAAACAATGACATTATCAGAGTTTTTGAAAATGACAATGTCAAAAGTTGTTATTGACATTATAATTTTTTATTGTTATTGACAATGTGTAATAATATTTGAAATTGCTAAGAAGTGACATTATTTTTATTGATGACATTGTGACATTGGATTTGTGATTCAAATTTTAAAATGTGGAACCAAAATGAATTCGAGTTGACCTGACATATCTGGACACAATGGCAATGTCAATGACAATGTCATAAAAATGTATAAGAAAATGTCACAATGGCAATGTTATTGTCGATACTATAAAATGTCATTGTAATTATGACAATGTCAATAGCTATTATGACAATGTTAATTTTGTATAAAAAAGTCACAATGTCAGAAAAATGTTATAATGTCAATTAATCACGATGACAATATCAATGATAATGTCATAAGAATGTCAATGACAATGTCATAAGAATGTCAATCATTATGAAAATGACATTGTTAAAACTAATGACATTTTTATTTTCAGCAGGCGCAACATTTGCAAGACAAAGCCAATTCACATTCATCACTTTACACTTTATGTTTATTTTCCCTTGACTGTTAAAATATAATATAAATGATACAAAAATAAAGTGAATGGCTAAAAGGAATTAAAAATAACAATGAAGAAGCAATTAATATAAAAATTAAACAAAACAAACTAAAGTTGAGATTTGGAAAAGGAATTAGAAAAAACATTTAAATTTTAAACCAAACACACGTGCTTTGGACTTCCTGGAGTGATTGGAATAACGCGGACAAGGTCAATCAAAACATGACTGTTCATCTTCGAAAGAAAAAAAGAAGAGACAAATGCCATTAAGGACGAATCGGAAGAAAAGAAACGAAGAGCAAAAGAGCCGCAAAAGAAATAATAAGAAGAGGAGAAAGAGTAGGAGATGAGGAGGAAGAGAAAAAGAAGAAGAGATCCATAAGATTTTGGCCGGCGCTGCTGCAGTAGATCTCTTTCCTCGATGTCTATCGTCTCTGTAGCGTCGGCTCAGACGTGTTGCCGCCGCTGCAATAACCGCCGGTGCCGCGCGACCGCGCGCCGTCCTCATCTTATTAAGTTTCCGCGAGCAAGCCCTGCTGTCCTCATCGTATGGCTGGATGTGTTTGTTGACTGAAAGGCAGAGGTAATACAAAGTAATATGATAGGGGTAAATTGGGAAGGCACGGAAAAATAAGTCCTATTTAGAAGTTAAAAAGTTTGGACTCCTATTTAGTTACATTAAGTTTTTTGTAGTCCTATTTGACACCATTTTTCAAATTTAAATATGCCTTCACTTTTGAAATAGATTCCTATTCTAAACTAGAAGATCTTTATATGTTTACAAATTCCTTTAATAGAATGTTTTAATTGGATTGATTTCAGTTCCAGATTAAATCGGATCAGATCAAACTTTAATAATTTTAACAATAAGTCTCATAAAAAACAGACATCTAATAGACCATATTAATTCATACCAAATCAAACCCGAAATTTTAATTCAATTAAAAACGTTCTTATTACTGAGTAAACTGTAATATCTAACAATTAAGAAATATAAAAAAAATTAATATTGAGTTCATAACAATTATGTTTACTTGAGATGCTTATGTAGAAGACCAATTTAACATTTTTTTTCATATAATTTTTTCTTTGTTTCACAAGTGGAATATATTTCACAATTATTTTTCATGATTCAGGAGATTCCACCTATTTAACCATAATTCAATCAATTTCAGCAAAATAAGTTAATTCTATTTATTTTAGTATTATCAAACAGACTATATTAGACTAAGTTTATTTTTCTTTTAAATCACATTATATGTGATCCGATAGAAATTAAATTTCAAATTACCTAAATTACACACTGCCCGTGCATCGCACGGGCTTGAAAATTAGTATAAAGATATATGAAAAAATAAAATTACTTAGGTAATGTATTCCAAATAAAATATGCTAGTGGGTGCAATAGGTTAATCTATATACATCTATATAAAAACACAACCGTGGAACACAACCATGTAGGGGTGGACTCGGGCCGGACCGGTTCCGGTTCAGGCATGGGCCCGGCCGGACTTTTATTTGGAAAAGGTGGAACCGGAACCGGCCCGGGTAGCCGGCGGTTCCGGGCCGGGCCGGTTCTGGTTCGGGCTTTTTTTTATTTTCTTTTGCTTTTGTAATCAATCCCCGACCCCCCCCCAAACACCCAACCCGGTAGAATAAAAAAAATTGAAAAAAAAATAAAATTGGGCCCAAACCGGGCCTGGACCGGTCGGGCAGATTCGCGTTTTAGGGGGCCCGAGCCCGCACCAGGAACTGGGCGGTTCCGGTTGGCCCGAACCGGCTCCAAGACCAGGTACCGGCCGGGCCAGGCCCTAACAATACCGGGCTAGGCCGGTTCCGGCCCAGGCCGCCCGGCCCGAGTCCACCCCACAACCATATAGAAAACCTGTTCCCGCCTAGAGACTTACGGGAGGATTTGCACACACGTGTAAATGTGTAATAATAAAGTATTCAATCAAAATTAGTTATTCCAAAAGCTAATACCCACGTAATAAAAATTGTGCAAACATGTGGACAATTGAACTGTCAAGCCCAGTGACATAATTGAACATGATTTTTTTTTTCAATATTGTGCATAAAATCTAAAAATCTTTAATGTCAGTGATGTAAAAAACAGTTAACAATTTGGGAAAATATTGTAGGAGTCTCAACGATTTCACTATATAACAACAAAATGGTGGGTCCACTTATTTTAATTTGAAGTTTCTTAATTCTAATTAAAAAGCACATTGACAAACTAGAAAGAAGTATTATTATGATCACTTGACACACAGTATATCCGTCCCTTTTTAGAGCATCTCCAATGGTATAATGTGCACGGTGCACACGTGACATGAGAGATAGCCACATAAATATTAATAAATAAATTCTTTCTCTCCTTATTTTAATGATTTTATACAGATTTAGTAAGTTTTTCTCCACAATGTCAAGGAGACCGTCTAAATGTTGACATTGCAGTTGACATTACAGGGAAAAACTTACCAAAATTGTATAAAATCATTCAAATAATGAGAGAGATAATTTATTTGCTAATATTTATGTGGCTATCACACATGCCACATGTGCACCGTGCACATTTTAGCATTGGAGATACTCTTAGTTAGTTATCATAAACTTTTTAAATTAATGATCCTGAACTATAATTGATAACATATATTTAAACACAGAAATAACATGAAACCGGTATGTAAATGTTGTTAGTTAAAAATGCTATGGTAAAAGTTTGCAATTTATAAGTTTCACACAAATATATTACCGCGTAGCTAAAATAGTAAAATGGTTAATCAAGGTTAACCATCATTGACCGGAAAAATCAATGATGTCCAATTGAAAGGGACAAAGAAAGTTTAATAGGGTAAATTAGGAGCATGGTCATCTATATGGTGCATTTAAAAATAGAGTAAAAGAAATGACTAATAATATATCCATTACAAGAAAATTATTTTGAAAGTCATTCCTTTAATCGAATGAGTTAAAATTGTATGATGAGTAACTCCAAGTTAGTTTTTATTCTTTTGTTTTTTTGCATTCAATAGTAAATTGTTTATATTTCAAATAAATATATCTTACATCAAGATTTTTATTTCTCTAAAGTAAATATATTTTACATAACACTCTAATTTGTAAAATAGCTTCAATAAGTTGTGAGATTATTTTTGTCCCGTGCATCGCACGGGTATGATACTAGTTGTTAAAGAAAAAATACTCCGTAAAAGATAGCTGGTGGGTGAAGAGAAGATGAGGACAACCCCAATAATAATTGAATAAAGATAATTAAGAGAAAATTAAAAAACAAAACTAAACTCTAGAATAACGAGAAGAGAAAAGAAGCTGGGTGGTGATTTACCTGAGCTGTTGATCGGAGAAGAAACGAGCCGGAAAAGAAGAGCTGGCTGGAGAAGAAGTCAAGCTCTCGCAGGCCCTAATTAGATGTGGCGTGCATCGTGATATTGAGTGAGGGCATTTAATGAATAAAGTTAGAAGAATCAGAAGCTATTTTGGAGAAGCTGCTCCTACCCAGATTCTACAAATCTGATTTTTCTGATTTTTCAGCCATTTAAAATCACTTTTAAAATCAGATCCAAACACCTTCAAAACTGATTCTGCTTCAAAGTGCTCCTTGGGAGAGCAGAATCAGTTTCTAAAAGCGGTTCCAAACACCCCCTATACATACATCCGATATAATGTACACAATATAATAATGTGTGAATGGTTTGGCATGCAGACAAAAGTCAGTAATCTCACTGGCTAACTAGATTAAAAAAGAATGTCCGATCAACATCATGGCTTGAGCTAAAAATGTCAAAAACTCATCTTAGACTAACTCACTAACCCAATAAAGTAGAAATGGTTTATATCTCATATGCACAAGAGATCATCATGAAACTAATCACATCTTTCTCATGAGGTAAATACGGTATATCATGTCGTTATAATTTTTAACTGGGAAAAGAAATAGAAAGGATGCCATGCCACATCAACATTTGCAGAAATGACATGCATCAATCAATCCTTTTTAGGGCACACATTCAAGAATCAGGAGGCAAAAGGAATTAATAACAAATAATCTAACTTCATTGACCGAGCGATAACACGCGGAGTAGTTTATAGTTTTACACTTCTGCACACTCTATTTGCATCACCAACCTATGATGATGGCTCTGTTTCTTGCAAATTTCCACCAATAAAAATACTGGCTATATAGATCCCCGACCCCCGGTACATCTAGATAACCACAAGGATCATCACTACAAGTAATCTACCAAAAACACCCTAATATACAAGAAAGCTTTAGGGTAGCTTGTATAAAATATGCTTGAATGTAAAGGAAAAAATGAAGCACAAACAATTACAGCCAACAACAAACCTATAAAACCACAAAGAATATCAAGTAACCAACCCATAAAAAATAGACAACTGGAAATGAAGAATTGAAAGGATCTTCTATTCCGTTATGCGGCTATATAAAAAAATGAACCGATGCTGTCATCGAGTTGAAACTGTGCCTGACTGCTGTAGACAGGTTTTGTATACCTTAGAACAACTGAAGAGTCATTTTTAGCTTGTTCTGCTTCCACTTAGGTAACTTATAGAATGCTTCCTTGGTCATCCCAAATTTCTCTCTAAACTCTTCCGAGGACAGGTATGTCTGCTCAAAGTCATTGTTCCAGGTATAATAGTTATTTAAAGGCAAGAATCAAAGTTAGCGTATATCTGAAGTGTTAGCAAAATCATACCTCTCGTTTTGTTACATCAATTTCAGTAACAGGATCACTTGATGCCGTTTTGAGCCGTTCATAAGGATATACTGGAAGTCCATCATCATCTTTACATTCACCCTCCTTTAGATCTTCTTGAATTGTTTCTGGTTTAGGTTTGGGCACCGCGCCTCCACTAGCACTGGGAGGTGTCCGTTTAGAATATTGTTCACCAGGGCTCGAGGTTGGTGATTCAGAGTTTGCTTCACCATGTCAATTTAAAGTTAGTTTTTTACTGAAGCAATCCTTAAACTCATAAACAGCATATTTTTGCAAAAAAGGAAATTAAAGAGATTTTACCTTTTGTAGCACGTGGTACAACGACATCCCTGGGCGGAAGATGTTTTTCAAAGCTTGAACTTAGTGCTGAAATGGCTGCTGACTTGGTAGCCAGTTTTGCTGAATCTGGGGTTACAGATTTTGGATAAACCCTTCTGACCATGGGTGGAGGAGTTGAAAGGTTTCTTGAATTTGCACTCTCAAAAGTAGCAGCTAGGGCACTGAATGCAGGAGACCGGCCTCTGACTCGAACTCGGTCAGGGCTAGATGACATGCTTCTAGAACGTGATTTTTCAGGGGCAGATGATCTTCCCACATATGAGACAGCTGTTCTCCTTTTCAGCTTCTGGTCATCCAAAACAAATCCAATGAACACTTCAACGCATACAAATCACGAGCAACTCAAGAATCAAATTATTGTTGCAATTTATCAGAGTGCCCGGAAATTAAAATACCATACGTTCTTGTTTCATTCAGCAATATAAAGCTCCCATTCTCCCAATTTTAGTAATTTAGGGTGTATTAGAACCAACATGCAAAACTATTGAAAACTCTGAATTGGTAAGTTACACATTGTGAAGTTCAGAAAAGCATATCCCTTTCATGAATACTTAGTAAACACTTTGTATATGTAAATAAATGTATAAGACTGGCATAATATTTTAAATGTTCAAGTATGACTATACTAGCAATCTAGCATATACTGAAGGAACAATATGACTATATGAGAGTAAACTTCCGTCTTGATACACTCCCACTGATGTTTCCCCATTACATTATAATTTCAGTTCGGACACTGAACTCATAGTTCAGTGAGAAAGAGATTAAAAAAAATGTATATAATAGGAGTAAAATAACAAATAAAGCTAACAATGGTGATAGTAATGATGATGACAAGACAGTGATAATGATAATAACAAAAATAATATTAATAACATTACTAAAAATAACAATGAGAGTAAACATCACTTCTTTTGGGACTAAGGCTTTGATGATGTTGTTGTAGAGCATCACTGGATAAGTGACAAATATAGTTGTGGCCAACAGAAATTATCGAGAAAAATGAGAGATTTGTATAGAATTAATCGTGTATGAAAATAAGTCCCAACCAGGCATGAGAATGATTGAAGAGTTGTGACCTACTATTTCCTGGTTATTAGCTAAAGGCTAAACACGCGGGCGCACTGACAATGACAGAGAGAGAGAGAAGAGAGTACATACATCCACTGTTGGGGTGCCCCCGTTTTTCACTATAGTAAGTTTTCTTTGGAATGAGTTTCCATGCATCTGCAAACAATATCTTTTAGCAACGAAATGGACTAAAAGGATCAAGCAGAAAATAAGCAGCAAGATCACGTACAGCAGATTTTTCAGAGTCCCATATGAAAAAACGAGTAAAGAAAGGAGGTTCACTTCCTTCCATAACAATGTATATTGGAGCCTGGCGAGATACTCTCTCCAGAAGGAAATCATGCTCGAGAAATTTCTGGAAGAAAAATCATAAAACCAAAGTTCATGTGACATAACAGAAAACATAAAATCATTAGGTAACTAATGATGTAAGAAGATGCATTCCTGCATTAGCTTTTTAGATTACAATCATGGTAATATGAACATAGTTGCAACGTAAAATGAATGTTCATAGACAAATTCTAATTGTTATTTGTTATATAAAATAACAATTATCTGTGTCCTGAAATAGAGACAGAGAGATATGTATGTACATACATGCACGTACACGTCCTATGGTACACTTAATATATTCCAACAGACTGCACCACCATAATAGCAATTTCTCTTTTATGCAGAACTGGTGATAAATAGGTCCACAGTACATAAACCAAGACTGGTAGGCTTGAAAATGCATCACCACGTAATTACTCCCTCTGTCCCACTCGACTTGGCCAAGTTTGACATGCATGTGGAGTAAAAAAGTAAAGCTTGTGTGGTTGAAGTTTGTGTAAACGATAGAAATAATAACTACAAATTAGTTACTTTAAAGGGAAAGTGACAATGTTTCAGGAATTTCAAAAATGGAACATTTGCAAAGTCCAGCAGGACGAAGGAAGTAGCATTACAGAAGAGGACACAGATAGCAGAGAGGAGGTAGAAATGTCCAAGGAAGACTATAACAAACTAGGAGTCTAGGACACAAGTGAGCATTCCTAAAAACCCAAGCCCAGTCTATAGTTATTGGTGTGGCTCAAATGAGGCTTGAAACCCAGAGGCTGAAAATACAGGAAAACACTTCCTTTAAAATACAGAGTATGAAGAGTTTCTGCAGCTAAAAAGCTGCCTGAACCTCTATTTCTTCCAATATATGTCATGCAGATCTTGCCTGCAAATCAAAATCAGTTTGGGTCCTTGACTCTGGAACCACAGATCATGTTACTGGCAATCCTTCCATTCTCTCATATTAAATATTCAAATTCACTCCTGTAAGTTACATCTGGGCTTGGGTCAAAAGCAGTTGCTAGAGGCTTTAGAGAAGCCCCTGTATTTTCTTAATATCATAAACTGATATGTTCTTAGATGCATATTCAATCTAATTTCAATATATAGACATTTAAAATGCTAAGGAACTCAAAAGAGCTGCATAAAGCTCATTATATCAAGTCCAAAGCGTCAAATTAACAGAAAACACAAGACATTAGGTACTCTCTAGTAGGCTGAGTAATTCTTGCTTGCGCGATTCTGATACAAACCCACACATTATACTTCATATTTCTGCATTTAATTGTCCCTAGGCTCTAGCTCAAGATTGCAGTAAGCAAAACTTACAAACTTCCAATTTCACACATAAATAAAGGCTCAAAGATGAGCCAATCGCATACCTCACCGATAGTTAGAGCCTGTATTTTAGTCTTGTACTCGACCTGTTTCCCAACCCAGATATAAATGTCTGAATGACAATGAAGGATGAATATGTCTTCAGTCATGAGATCATCCTGATTGAAGTTGTAAATTTCAGTCACCTGCAACAAAAAGCATCATTCAAAATCTCATAGGAAATATGATGAAGATAGTGGAAGCATCTAGCCTTATATATGATTATTAACATCAACATCGTATATTATATGATAAGCAATACTGTTTCAGGTTGTCTTGAGCAATACATTACTTTTATTTTGATTTCCACTCCCTACTCATCTTACTAAATAAAAGCAAACTACCGATGAACTGCAAAACTACAGTCCTATAATAGAGCTATTAAAGAATAAGTGAAGGAACACACCTCCAGATCTCCTGATATGCATTCCACGGTCACCAAATGGATGGGAAAACACAGTTAGTGCAGTGAAAAGAAGTATAACCCAAATATAATGAAAGCTCCTTATTTAACCAATTTATCTTGTTTAATGACTTTAATCAATCCTGAGGACAAATACGAGGCAGATAGAATTTTGATAAGCTCATACCCTTTGAGAAGGTGCATGTGAAAAGATGAGGGTCACTTTCAGAATCCCTTGCAGTCTTCTGGCTGGAGTACTCAGATTTCCCACCCAATATATCCCAAAATAGTTCAGATTCAGCACCTTCTTTCTGCAGCTTAGACTGCAAGTCAGGCTGCAAACAGTGCATTACAATTTACAAATCACAAATTAGATTAAATTTGAGTGAAGTGCTAAAAAATTACAAGGCTAAATGGTCCATCTCTTTTTAACATTGATTGTAAAGTTTTCACTTTTTATGTTTTTAATAATATGGGGAAAAGGTACAAATATACCCTTGAACTATGCGCCAGAGAATAAATATATCTTTAACTCTCTTTTGGAACAATTAAACAAAAAATTGTAAAGTTGGAATAAATATACCCTTGAAGTATACATATCACCTACTAATGACAAAATTTCCCTTTTGATATGCACTTACTAAGGACAAATTTTGGTTTTCCTTGCTTTTCGTGGATCAAACATATTTAATATGGACACTTTTTATGATGGGTAGCAAGTGAGGCCTTGACTGGTGGTCCTTTCCATTCTAAATACCATACTGAAGAAGTGAATGAAGTACACTTCATCAAAATTGCACTCGAGGTGAAGCCACACAAGACAGATTAATTATAACAAAGATCACAAGGTTACACTGATAAATGGAAAGCCAAAAAGATACTTACAGGGTAGAAAACATCAAAGTAACAAATACCTTTATAAGATCCAATAGCCTCTCAACAAGTTCCACATCCTCAGAGCTGGTGAGATTTCCACACCAAGTAAAGATAGAAGATCCCTTTTGTAGTATATAACAGTAGGAGGAGTTCAATGAAGATGCAACCTGAATTTAGTCATAGCATATATTATACAGCCATACATTATCGTGGGTTAGAAATCGCAGAACAACAAATCATGAGAAAAATGTGCATTTAGAAACAAGACATGACAATATTAAGACTGGATACTTACTTAGAAAATAACAATTTGAAATAGCAATCATATCTTTTCTTTCCTATTTATTGCCTAGTTTGTAGGTCAAGCCACATCAACCTATCTGATTCATCCCTTATCTGTTTTGTCGTATGATGTCTTAAGATTTGGATGGAGCACAAAAGTTTTGATACAAAAGACCTAACAGAAGATATTAGCGGAGCTCTAGCTGTAGCTCTTTGTGATTGTGGATGGTTATGACTCCTGATCTAGCTTCTCTACCGTTTCAATGATTCAATCCAATCTCTTGGTCTAGGTAAACCCCAAACAGTGTACTCAAAATTCCCTTTATTTGTCTGTCTTTCTTTTGTTATTATCCTCCTCATCCCTTTAGCATTTAGACTTTTCTCACTTGCATGTCCCATTAGGCCCATTTAGTACTCGACCTTTGTATGAAATACTAGAATATTTCATTTGTCGTCCATATGGTTTAGTCTTCCATTGAAGATAAGGATTAGAATGTTGTTCGACAGGATATTCTCAGAGTTTTCCTTATATTTTTCAAGCAAATGATTTCATTGGGGTAAGATAATGATCTTTGTTCACTATAAGCATTTGTTAAGGCTGGTAGGGAGATGAAAATAGATTTTACTGGGTATGATATTGATCTTTCTTCACTATAAGAGCCTGTTACGAGTGTGGTAGAGAGATGAAAACAAAAAGATTATAATCAACAAAGATGAAGCACTTCTCCTCCATAAGCAAGAGAAGGTGGCCCCTGACCTTTTCAAGACTCCATGGAACAAGTCCAAAATAATTGATGATACTATTAATAAATAGAGCACCTCTATTTATACTAGTTCTAAGAGCCCTCGTAAATCAGTACTAGAGTAATTCTAAATGGCTAAATCTATTACAAACTGTTAATAGAAATATTAACTAAAATAGAATACTCATAATAATTGAAAACTACTAATAATATACGAAACTAGTACCAATAAGATAAACTAATTATCATATATAACAGTTCCTTGTCCCTTCACACAGTCAGACAGCCCTAACATGAGACTCTCATATCAGCACTCTTCTTCTTATTCTTATTCTTCTTCTGGTAACTGAATCAGTAGAATTTCACTTAAAACAATGGGGCCAACTTACCACAGAATTGTCTCTTCACAAGATATGGCCAAACTTCTTCATCTTCGTGATCAAATCCTATTTAGGACCACAATTCCATTTACATGACTCAATTGAGCAACATCAAAGTACCCATGGCACCTCAGTTGATTTCTCATACTTAGCATCAAGGGTTTCTCCATGATGGCACTCAGTCACCCACTTTGCCATCCCAATGAGGTGACCGAACTTGGGTGACTACTGTCAGAAAGCATGGCATACTGAGGACCAATGCAGGAAACAGCATGATAAACCACATAAATCCAACATAGTTCAAGCCATTGGATCTGAAACCCAAGGTCTAACCATGGCCCCTTGGTTGATTCCTCAGTCTTAGCATCATGGTTTCTCCACGATAGCACCCATTTCTATAAGGTAACCACCACCCTTTGTGTGACTACTGTCAGAAAGCATGAGATACCATGGACAGTGGAAACAGCATGTAAACCACCATGTAAAGTCAACGTAGTTCAGACCTTAGATCTGAAAGCCAATGTTTTCCACCTACATATCCAACATCTGTCATCTACGTACTGCAGCATATGAGCGTCTCAGGTTACAAACATCCAAACAGCATGCTCATACATGTACTAGTGATCCTAGGTGTTGCATGAATGTCTGAGATTAGTGATCCTAGGTGTAGCATTATGGACTTGACCTCTGTTCCTAGGTGTTGCATTATTGACTCAGTTTCCTTGGATCACATCACTCATAATCCACACCCTTCATCCAATCTTAGCATTCCTCCCTTATTTACCTACGCAATCCTTACATTCCTTAGTGTACAGTCTTACAAACATCCAAACAGCATGCTCATACATGTACTAGTGATCCTAGGTGTTGCATGAATGTCTGAGATTAGTGATCCTAGGTGTAGCATTATGGACTTGACTTCTGTTCCTAGGTGTTGCATTATTGACTCAGTTTCCTTGGATCACATCACTCATAATCCACACCTTTCATCCAATCTTAGCATTCCTCCCTTATTTACCTATGCAATCCTTACATTCCTTAGTGGACAGTCTTAAAAACATCAGCTAAAGGAGTAGGTAAAAGGACTGGGATTTATTTTGACCTTTCATCCCTTCAATCTTATACTACATCCTAAAAAAGAGTCGTATTTGAGTAAGTACGCTTATCTGCCTAAAAATTATGAGGAGTAACTGGCAGTAAGCTTACTTCATTATTAAATTGCTGCATAACCTTTTCATCATAATTAAAGTGCTGCCGGATCACAATACAAAGAAGACGATTGACATCGGATTTGAGTCACGAGGTCTGTGTGACTGTGTATCTTAGTATTATTTAATTTATCTCTTTGAGGTTGGAATCTTAGGAGAAATTACAACCCGAAAAATTGAGGGCCTCATTTATGAAGTGGGTCCCAGGACTCAAATTCTCATACACCCTATTTTCCTTTTGAAACATCATCAACCACTTCTACAAAAAATTGACCATAGTAGTATATGTGAGATGACACCGCGACTCAACACCCAAAACTCCACGACCACTCTCCCTCACACACATGACTCTTGGCTCAATGAGTTCTGACTGTGCCTTATGCACCAGCGCAATATTTCCAACAATTCCAATTTTGCTTGTGAGGCACTGAGGATTCAAAGACCCTAAGGTGAAAGTTTCATCATTTTCTGACAAATTTGAGTTTTCATATTTTGAGTATTGCTTTGTAATAAGTACAGAAAAAAAGAAAGAGAAAAGGAGAGAAAAATACATACAAAGCAAGTTTCAAGTTCTCAATGTTAAGTAAGTTAAAGTCAAGAAATGTAACACAAATGAAAGTTAGTGTTGAGAATGCTCATATGAGCAAAAGAAGTTGAAGTGTTGTGTTCAGCTATTAAATAATAACTTCAAGTGTTTAGTGAAATTCAAGAGTTCAAGTTTTCCAAAGTGTTCGATATTAGGTTTCAGTCATTGACTTATTGTATCATGCTTGAAACATATGAGATCCGACTTGAGGGTAAATAGATAAAGTATAATAATACAAACACTGGGCTTTAGAAACCCTAGGGTCTAGCCCATTAGACTTATGGCCCGTTATATTCCTACATAAACAGTGTATAAGTTTTTAACACTATTGAGGATACTCGTGGGGCACCATAAGTCAACTTAGAGTTATACTTCATGTTGTTCCAGTCAAGTTCAATTCAACAGAAGTTAAAATGTTCCAGTGAAGTTCAGGTTTCAGATTTCCATATTCAAGTTAAAGTTTTAACTATTCAGTATCAACTATCAAGTATCATTCTTCAGTTTTTTGTTAAACTTGAGGCATATTTTTTATATGCTGCTGCTTGTAAGGCATGTTGCAATATATATTGCAATGTACACACACAAACATATTATATATATATATACACACCACTTTGAACTTCAATATGCAGTACAAATAATGTAAAGATGCACACTGTGAATTTCAATATGCAATACAAATGATATGCAACACTTTGAACTTTAATATGCAGTACAAATAATATGCAACACTTTGAACTTCAATATGCAATACATATAATGTCAAGATGCACATTTTGTGATAGTTGTAGGTTAGCATGGGAGGACTAGTTTGCATGAGATCTCATACTAACTAGTTCTCCCATGCTAACTCGTGAAAACTCCGACAACCGGTGGTATTTTTGGCTCAAAGTTTTTGTGTATGTTCCTCATCAAGTCTAGTTCATCTATACCAAATTTGAGCAAAAAATTCAATCGGGAAGGTCATCAAATGATTTTTGAAAGAAAACTGGTCCGGAAAATACATATAAAATGCAGTTTTCTTTCAAAAATCATTTGATGACCTTCCCGATTGAATTTTTTGGTCAAATTTGGTATATATGAACTAGACTTGATGAGGAACATACACAAAAACTTTGAGCCAAAAATACCACCGGTTGTCGGAGTTTTCACGGTTGTCGGAGTATTCTATATATATATATAGAATAAAGATCAAATAAGAACAATGCTTAACGTGAGAGCGTGAGAACACCACATTTACCCCAACGTGTTGCACAATGAAGCTTGAATATTGCACTTTTTCACATTTTCACAATATTTACCAAAATGCCACCGTGTTTATTTAATATAGGCTTAACTCGAGCAAATTGAAAATGTGCAATAGAATAGCTCCATTGTGCACCACATTGATTTAAATGTGAGTGTTCCCACGTTCTCACGTTAAGCATCGTTCTCACTAGAACCGCACCCTGTATATACATATATATATATACACACACACACACTACATAGTATCTTTGTTCTTATTTAGTTGCAACACTTTGAATTTCACGTTTGTCGGCACACAACTTTGACCATAAATATATTGCGTTGGCTATGAGTAAAATGATGAAAATCATATTCTGAATTTACTTTGACACACTTATATAGTACTTTTTATAGTGTAATTTTTTATTACATAAATGAATAAAATGAAGCCAAAGTAGAATATGTAGATCGCGTAAAAGTCAAAGTGTAGCAACTAGCAACTATTAAAGATAGGAGGAAGTATATATTAGGGCAGAACATAAAAGTTGATAAACCGGAACCTAACCGACCCAAAACCGGCATAAACCGACCAAACCATAGGGGATTAGGTTCACGGTTTGAGTTTTTTCAGAAAAAACAACCGAATTGACAAAAATGACTGCTACTAATCAAAACCAGCCAAAACCGATACAAATTGGCCTAAAATAACCGAACCGAAACCGAAAACTGACAAAGCCAAACTGATGAACAACCAAATATGTGTTGTGTGTATAGTAACTCTCAGTCTCTAGTCTTATAAACCCTCAGGTTTCTCCATCCACGTCAAGTTTACCATTTATACACATCTACCCTCTAATAATTGTTTTAGTATGTTGACAGTCATGTCTATATTAATTTTTGTAAACATACCGGTTCAACTTGGATGGCTTGCATGTTATCAGGTCCAGTACCTTGTACTCGAAACAAAGCAACTCCATCCTCGCTATATGTGTCATCAGGAAGTTCTTTTTCAGCCAAGAACTTTTTGTATCCATCACTGTGTCCACCCTGGAGACATGCAAAAAAGTTAACCCGCCTGCTCACGAGTGTTTAATCTTAAGGGAGGGTAAGGAACTCTTTAATAGTTTCCCGAACCTTGAAAACAATAAAACTTTGGAAGATCGCAAAGAACTGGATTGGTTCGTATCCTTCATAAATGCGAGCCTAAGGAATGTCTGGATCAGCAAAGCACAACCACCCAGTGCAGTTATTGATTAAATCTAAGGTTCATTATGTAGATGTAATTACCTGTGTGGCCAAGAACTTCAGGGACTCCACCATCTTACTAGCTTGTGAAGTTGCTGAGACTTGATCTTCCTATGTGATGTAATACTTCATTAATCATAATTAAGACTAATGATCATCACTAAACACATGGCTTCTCCCCAATCCCACAGTAGTGAGAATAAAAGAGAGGGAAGGAAGCAAATAAAAAAACATACTACGTAGGAGTTTATATGAACATTAAAATTGTTATCTGGTGAGAATCCACACCCAACCTTAACGGCCAATAGTTTCAGAAATCAGAATACCTCACTAAATATATTTTTAAAGTACAGGTTTATCATTTCTAGTGCAATAAATGGCCAACATTGTAATGTGTACATAGGGTGAAGGAAAAGGTGCAGAAAAATCAAGAGCATCCAATTAGGAAGATCTAAGTTACACGCTTAATGTGGGGAAAAGGTTAGTTCTGTTACAAACTGGTGGGAAATGTATGGTAAGAAACTTGTTTATTTCACAAATCTGAAAATTAAATATTATTTGGACTCTGTTAGAAGAATTTCATATATGTTTTAAAAATGGGAAGATGCTTAATATCCTCATTGATGCTGGGGTAAAATTTCCTCATGCTATCATCATCTCCATCATTATCTGCAGCTAACTCCCAACTAGTTGAGGTTGCTGGCATTACATTTTTAGTCAAATATTTCTAAAAAATACTACATCCGTCCCTCTAATATTGGGACGGAAGGAAGTGGTGTGGTTTTAAGAAAAGTGGAATTATGTGGTTGATAATGAGTTGATAAAGTGAGAATAAAGTAAAATTGAATTAGAGCCACACAAATATTACCAAATATGGTATGGGACAAAATTAGTGGGACGGGCGGAAAAGGAAAAATGGGACAATTATAGTGGGACAGAGGGAGTAGTTTGCACCACAAATTCATGCAAAAAAACATGGTTTAAATGTATTACACCAGATGCCCTTCTTATTCTTGAGAGGGAACAATGAGATGAAAATTTTAAAAACGTCATCTCATAGGTTGAGATATTTGCTATTGCTATGTCCATTCTATATATACAACACAGCTTCATGACTTTATATCAGAATTCTTTCTTCTAGCATTATTCTCCAATGGACAAGGGTAAATGGAATGAGTTAAACTTGCAATTCTCGAACTCTTACACACGTGTGCATGTCAGAATAGGAAGAACACGAAAACAAAAGAAACAAAATTTTGATTTCATTACCTTGACACTTTGTTTTCCAAACCATGTCCCTATAAGATATTCCTCTTTATCTTCACCCATAAAAGAATATTGAAATATATAGCAGTCCCCACTGTAGAATTTTGACTGACTATGTGCTTCAAGAAGCATCTTCTGCTGAGCATTCACGCGCCAAACCTGGATTTCAGAAGCAACTTATCAAATACAGTATACCAGACACCACCTAGATTAGCAACAAAGTACATTCTAAAATTCCAAAAACAATCCATTTTCTCATATTCTCCTTATACACATCATTGTTTCAATCTAAATCATCATTACAAAGTTTCAAGGTAAAACTCTCCTATAAGATACAAATAGTCAGGCAATACTTTGCTTCTAAAAACCATAAAATAAGATAATTAGCAATACAGAACCTGTAAGTTTCCTGTGCAATCTATATAAGGTTGAGGTTCTTCCTTTGGAGGAGCAGCTTTCATTAGACCCTTGACATTAACCCCCTGACGCTTTAAAAGTGCTGGGAAGTATCACAATAAAAGAAAATATACACATTAGTAAAACTAAATTGATTCCTTTGGTTTGTGGGGAGGGGAGTGGAGGCACCGGCTCAAACAATGTTGTGTATACTATTTTACAAGAAAGTTCTCAAATTCACAAAGTGCTACGTGCCTTAAATTGCAACCAACTAAAACTATATGGATTAAGAAAGAAATGGACAATTGAAATAAAGGTGTCAAATTTACAGACATAAGAGTAAAACTGCAACAACATAGAAAATCAGAAAGTGACTTACCAGCAACCTTGCCTCTACCATCCTCTGACACAGAAACATCAGTTAAGTGGGGCCAATTGTCGAACTTTGAACGAAACGTCACTGTTTCAAATCCTTCTATGACACGAATAACGTGACATTTTGTTCTTTCAGGGCTTAATAATTCCTGCATAGTGAAATGAACAATAATGCAATGAAAAGAAAATGACAAACCATAAGAAAAATATAGACTAAATAAAGTGTAAATTATTACATCTGTAGCTCCACTCGCAGATTTTCTTTCATCAAGAGAAGTATTTCTTCCCATCCACACAAAGACTTCAGATCCTGTGTCAAGAATGTAGCATCTATTTGTATCCAGCAACTCCTTAGCCAAGGAAGCAGCCTCAACTGGCACTCTATGCCCTTTCTCAACTCTGAACTTGTAAAGATAATAATGACCACCGTTATTTAAAGGCGAAATTAGTGGCGTAATAAATAATTAAAAGCTATACTCTATACTTATAATAGTATGATATGACAAACAAAAATGAAACTTCATGAGTTTATTTAAATATAAATATAAATGTAAAATTTAATTACAGTATAGCAATATAATGTCACGCAAGTCAATAACAATTAAACATAACACAGATATTCTGTAAAATCTTTTTGCATCTGCACTTTAACTTTTGGCATCTTTCACTTTAGAAAAGCAATATAAATATATTTCAATATTTAGAAATTTTATTACATATCGATGAAATACATCACCTATATAGTCTGGTGGATGGAGCATCTGGACTTTTAGTACCATCAGTGGTGCTTTTCCTTGGAAGCGGAGCAAAGCCACCAAACAACCCCCAGAATTCTCCTGTGTCAGCATCGGCCATCAATTTTCCATCCTCTGCATTCTCAGAGAAAATATAAGTTTTAATCAATCAGTCAATTAATTGACAACATTCCAGCGACTCAATTTATTACAATTGCTTACCAATTGCAGTCACCTCGCACGTTCCATCATGGTAAGTATCTTTAATGTACTGTACAACTTCAAGTGCTTTAGCCCTCTCTTGAATACATGAATTGGCTCCATTGAATTGAAATATTTTGGACTTGGTATCAAGAATAAAAATGTCATCATGGTTTAGTGAGGAACGTGCAAAAGAGACCTGTCCAATAATACAGAAAATGGTAATTGAATATTCATAACGTAATATGTATGCCTGAGGTCTGAAAGATAATAGCTTGCCTCTTTCACGTAGACTACATGTTTCCCTTTGCATACATATAGGCGAGTCTTGTGCTCTTCTAATTCAGCATGCTTGAACCCTGATGCAACTCCACCTTCTTGGGGTATTATACATGGCTTAAAATAAGAAAGAAACTTCTCAGTTTCATGGCCTTGTACTTCACGATATTGTACAGCACGTCCTCCAAGGGCTGCATCTAATTCAACAGTCTTAATAGCTGCTGCACCAGCTTCATCCTTCATAGCAGAGTCAATCAAGAAGAAATTATTACAAAGGAGCTATGATGGTTAAATCTTACGAATGGAAAAGCATACCTGACTTGTATCTTTACCAAGCCAGTAGTGAATATCATGTCGTAAGGCACCACTTTTCAAGGCAGTGGTCTGCATAAAAAAGAGTAATAAAAACCTGGTAAACATCAGGGAACTACAGCACACACAAGCAAAAAAATTAATGTAAATGTTAACTATAAAAAAAGGCAAGTGGCTATTTTGTGATTTCTAGAAATTGTGTTTTGCATAACTGGCACACATGCATATTAGCAAACCTATATGATGCAGGCAAACTTGTCAAAAGCACTCAAAAGCTTGCTTAAGAAATGAAGAGCAAGCAAGCAACAGCCATGGGTATTACTTTTATGAAGCGCAAAGTGCGTGAGGAAGCAGCGCTTTTTCCTTGCTTTTGCCCCGTTGCTTAAGCGCCAAAAGCATCGCTTTGACAGGCTTCTCACAACAAAAGGTCTACTAAGCAGTTGATCAGTTTCTTTTTTACCAAGGGATATGTCACAACTTTTCTTAGTATAATCCTCTTTTGTATAATTTCAAACATCAGATCTCTTACATCGCTTGATCTACTTATCTAGATACAATAATTCTAAACTTCAACTTTTTCCTTGCTCTATACTTGTTTTCTTCATGTTCTATGTTTACACACAACACTCTCTTCGTCCTTATTCTTTTTCTTTCCATTTTTTTGTTCTTCTCTTACAGATAAAAATCAGTATTATACTCCCTATCAAATTGAAAAGTTTTAATAAGTGTGAAACAAAGACAAAATACTAAACATATCTGATCTTGTACGACTCTATTAGTCTATCGATTCCATATTTGAAGTAAAATCCGAACTTTAAGGTTTGGTTTCATTTCAGAATATAGATGTACCTGGACATGAGTTAATGTTAACCTCTGTCAAATATCAAACTTCCACGCACGTGCAAACCCCACTAGAGTTCCTTGACAAACACTAAAACCCCTTTGCTGTCTCGCAATAACAGCCTAGTCTCACTATGAATTAGAAAATGAGTTATGATCATTCATATGCGGTGATATTATTATGATTCGTATGTGGTGATATTATTATGATTTTATCACGGGTATCCTAAAACTTTGGCCCAAATAATCCCTAAGTCATGATAGTTAACGACCGTGTGAACCACCAATGGCCCTATTGGAAGTTGAACTCTGGTGGCGACGCATATAGAGCTTTTGTCCATGAGGTCAAGCCAGTTGACCAACCCTTGAAGGTTATATACTTATATTTGATGTTATTATTTTTTGTTAGCACCAGGTGATCTCGTCTTTGCCGAAATAATCTTGGGCTTCCCAGAACCTACCCTAAACCCTTGACAGAAGTAAATTTGAGTCGCATGAACAATCTGCGACTCAAATTGTTCTCACTGTCATTTGTACACCATCACGCACAAGAAATCGCTCTTAACTGATTGATTGTTCATGTCCCCAGATTCCCAACGCAGCTCCTGGTAGAACCGTCATTGATTGGTCAAACACCAAGTTTATCGATAAGAAGCTAACTCTCACATTGTCACTTGAGAGGAGACAAAACACTGATTGCGTGACCACTCAGAGCTAGTCGGCCCTAGTCCCGGGGGCTAGAGGATCATCAATTGAGAATAGCCTCTCAAATTCACCAATTGGTGACTTGAATTCAAGACCACTCATAAGGGGAGGATCTTAAGTGTGGGAATTGGTAACTTGGACCACTCCTGCTTGTCTATTTGATGATATTATGACTTTAAGTGATGATGTTCTGTCACTATGACATACTATTATTACTTTTATGATTATTGTGCCTTAAACTTGCACCCCTTATAATTTATGCCTTAAATTTGCACCCCTTATAATTTATTTTTCACTTTTATACAAGTTCTGATTTTTGTTAGAAAACAACACCTCTCTTAGTGCTTTCGCTTATAAGCAAAGCCTCGCCTCATCTCTTTTGTGCGATTAGAACATATTTAGGTTTTAGGGAAATTAGTACCGCCAAGTTTGATCAAAAGAATTAACCTACCCTGCATTTAAAAAAATAAATTAATTACCCTCTCATATTTAGTCAAAATAATCACTGCCCACTCCATGGGCATAGTGAGGATCCCAAAATGTTGAATTTGGGGTGAACCAGAAAATAACTTATATAAATGTTCATAGTAATAATTCTACACAAAATAATGCTCTTCAACAAACTTGAAGTGGGTCATGCCCCCCCCCCCCCACTTACGCCCATGACCCCTCAATTATATACTTCATCCGTCCCGAACTGATTTGGAAAAGTTGACTTGCACAAGAAATAAGGAAGATAATAAATTATGTTTGGCTTTACTGTTTTGACCTTTCTCACATAAAGTTGAGAGGCATTTATGTAAATGAAAAGGAGTAAAAGTAAGGATAAGTTTGTCACTTTATTCATCTTTCCCTAACTAAAATAGAAAGTGAAAAAACATTTTGGGACAACCAAAATAGGAAATTTTGAAAATTGAATTGGGTTGGAGGGAGTACTTATATTACAAACTCATTCATCGCATGCTTCTTATTTTTTTTATTTGAAGAAAATGGAATGTGCATTAGAAACTCGAAAATGTCGATGGTTAACATATACTCCGTACTACGTATATAAGGTTTATGACCATTCTAACCATCACCATAATGATGTGTGTTTTAGCAATGTCATATACAAAAGTAATCAATACATAGGATATGTAATTAATTAATTATTAATTATTATATAACATTCACAACATTTCACCATTTATGGTGATGGTTAGAATAGTTACAAACCTTAAATATAGGGCAATAATTTAACAATTCATTGTCTTTAAATGAAATAAAATAGAAACCTTTGATAAAAAGAGCTTGACATGTGATGGATATAGTTAATGAGAAAAGCCGGGAAAAAGCATTTAATTAAGGGCAAGAGGGCAACTATTTGAGGACAGATAAGATGATCATGCATCTGTTTCCTAGACTAAATGTATTGAAGAAGTAACCAAACAACTTTGAGGCTTAGTTGTTTCCTAGACTAGATGCCTTGAAGAAGTAACCTATAGCTTTGATCCCTAAGCTTTTTGAAGCTAACCCCCAATTAAACTGACCAACCATATATCGAGAAATCCATCAATGTAATGCTTCAAGCATCAATGTAGTAGTATGTGCACATCACGAATCAGAAACATAAAAATAAGCAGGACAAATATATGCCATGTGAAAGTTCAAGATACAGATATCTGGCAATGGAAATCAAGTTAAATGAAGTATCTACTAAAATGGATTTGTCTCATATGGTCATATGATGCAAATTTAATGCAAACTCATGGATGAGCTGCTTACCTTCAGAATAACATAAGAGTCTCCTGTATAAAATTTTCCGTAATATGACTTTGAAACGGGGACAGGACGAAAATTTTCAATGCGCCATATCTCAATCCCACTAAATTGTTCAAGGAGAAACATATGACCTCATAGATCTTACATGCTGAAAAATGATTAAAGTTTCTCAGAAACAATTTTCAAGAAATCAAAACAAAAGGTTGAAATTTCCCAATTTCTCAGAATATTCTTCTTCGATCCAAGTAGGAATCTCAAAAAGTGAAAATTGATGGAAAAAACTCAAAATCTCATTGAAGATCTAGAATAAACAAACCCGTAGCTTTTTTTAGAATTGGAAAACAAAGATCATTTTTTTTTCTTTGTTGACAAAGCCAAAATACAAAACATGTTTACTTAACTTTCCCTAATTTAGAACTCAAAAAACATTCCTTTTCTACTAGCAACCTCAATAGTGTTTCCCTTGGCAATTCGCTAAAGATCAGTGGATTGCAGTATGCATGAATAAAACAGGAATATTTTTTAAAGTTATTAGAGGACAGAAACATGTAGCTGTTGAGACATCCTGAGAAAATGTTCTACATTGCGAAATAATATTTAGAAAAAGGATACGACTTCTGTCCAGCCCCTTGGAAAGCTGGATCCAAATCTCTCATTGAAACCGCCATCGCAGCCTCGCAGCTTCTCCAATTTGTTTCTCTGCTTTTGATCAATAAGAATGGTGAAGAACATACAAGGATGAATGCGTAGCTTCCACAGGTTTCATCAACAATAGGCTAATAGGCTGTAAAGTTGCCCGAAAGGTATACGAGTAACTGTTACGGAGTATTTTTTTTATTTTAATATAAAACCAGATCATAAAAATCAGGAAGAAATGAGACCCAGAAAAGAATAACCAACTCAGAAAAGTCAAATAAACTCAGAAATAAATTACTCCGTATAATAGATCAGCAAATTTCATACGCAGTATTAGATCAACGAAATTCAGATAAAACATTCAGGTCAAACTAAACACATACAGATTAGATTTAGAGCACATCAAATGTAAAAAGTGTGAACAAGTCACGTCAATAGAGTCCATTGTTCTTTATTTTTGTTAGTTGTGATGAATGTTTAGTTATTTTTATTAAAAATGTATATATGTAATAAATACAGTAGTAAAAGGGAAAATGGAAACTAATAATTCAAACTTTTAGCGGTCTTTTACAATAATCCAACATTTGGGTTATTCATGAATAATTCAACTTTTGCACCTCATCTTCATTCACTGGTCCCTGACCGGCTGATGACCTGCTATTCTAAGCTATTTTCTTATCTTTGCAAATCATTATACCATAAATCTCATCTTTCACAAAGATAATATTTTGCAAAGATTAGAAAATAACTTGGAATAGTGGGTCATTAACCGATCAGGGACCAGTGAATGAAGATGAGGTGCAAAGATTGTATTATTCATGAATAATCAAAAGGTGGGATTATTGAAAGAAGACCGCTAAAAGGTTGGATTATTAGTTTCCATTTTCCCTAAATAAAAAGTATCAAAAAACACAATAGCCATGAAAAAATAAAGTGAAATTTTGTTAATTGTTACCTCTATTCTGCAATTAGGATGTTGTAAAAGTAAGTTCCAAATTCTCTTATGTGTGATACTCCCTATATAATTGTAAAATATGATTTTTAAACATAAAAAATACATTATTAATTATCAATTTTTTCTATCACACTTTTCAGGACATACTTGGAAATTTATTCACAAATATTATTTTGTCTAATTGTGAATTCAAACAACACAATTGAATTCTTATCAAAATTAATTGTGGTATAGAAAGAGCAATTTTTATGCCTCTAATATTACTCACATACATATTCCTCTTTCCGGTGACTTAGGATTATGCTACCCTTCCCCTAGGAATCCTTCTTTCCCCTTTCAGAGAATAAATCCATTGGAAGCAGTGAGTCCTACGGTTACACCACCTCCAGAACAAGTGGAGTTATTTCGCATCTAAGGAAAATCGCGCTCGTGAAGATCACGGAGTACATACTACAACTCGTGCTAGTGACACAACCTTACAAATTTGTAATCATGTAGATTTTAGAACTTAACAAATAACATATGGGTTCATTTAATATTTTCAAATTTTCTCATTCCACCCCTCGTCCTCATTCTTTCTACACTAGCTTCTACTAGTAGTTTAACAATATAATGCCCAGACAAACAATTTTCATACAAAACTACTCAAAGCAAAAAGGCCAAATGGTCAAATAGACCATCAAACTAACTTGAAAAGTGCAATGGACGTAGAACTAACGGTCTATGTCCGGCCGTCGCCAATTGGAGCGGTTCCCGGTGGATTTTTTTATGACTTTTATTAGCATCATCATCATCATTAAGTCTAGTTTACTCATACCAAATTTCAGCTAAAAATTCCATCGGGGAGACAGTCAAATGATTTTTTGAAGATAACAACGCAGTACATTTAAGAAAATCATTTGACTGTCTTCTCGGTTGAATTTTTATCTGAGATTTTGTATGGGTAAACTAGACTTAATGAAGAAGATACTCAAAAACAAGCATAAAAAAATTCCACTGGGAACCGCCCCAATTGGCGATGGCCGGACAAAGCCTTCTATATAAGGGGTGAATTGCATTTTTAAGTTAGTTCGAGGGCCTACTTGACCCTTTAGCCAAGAAAGAATAATACGCAAGAAGTGACATTTTTTCAATTAAAGGAGAACAAGTAAATAGTACTACATGTAACCAATTTACACTAGTGCAAAATATACATTCTATAACTAGGTTTTAATATGTGTTCATCTAGAACCGTTGTTATATGTAGGCGTGGGGTCATTTTTATAAATAACGAAAGTTTGAGTAAGTTAAGCGAGGTTAACTTTACAAATATAGAACATTATTTATAACGGTTATCGTTGGAACCGATATAGTTAACTTAAACGGGGTCTTTTTTATAATTTAAGGAAACTTTATTTCGAAATGGGGTCTGCTTTTCAATTTTAGAAAATGCTTTTTAATATCATTTCAGTTGTACCCCTTACGAAAAGTGGCAACAAAAAATTAAAAGGTTAACACTCGACCGCTGCTGCACCCATGGGCCATTTGCCTAAGCGCCTTTGCTGGTCGACGATTTCGATGAAGATGACGCCACAGCAGACCGACGACTTGCACGAAGACGACGCCCCTGCTGCTCCCGGCGACTTCGACGAAGATACTGCCGCTGCTGCTCCCTAAAATTTTGACGAAGTTGACGCTGCCCTGCTCCTCCCGACCCCTTCGACGACAGTCAGCTCGCTTCAAGGTTAATTCTCAATTTTCTCTGCAATGGCTTTGCCCTTCTTAGTTTCAACTTTCAAGATTCATTTGTTGCTAATTTGTAAACTCAGAATGATTGAATTTAGTGGCATGAAACTCTTGGGCATGAAATCCAATTTAAGATTAATTCCAGCCAATTCTAATGAATCTCTGTGAATGTATGTTTCGAATTCGATCTAAAAAAGAACCAGAATGAAACTACGAGCCTATTTTTCACAGAACTCGGAATGAAACTCCCTGCCACAAATAATTAGATTCATTTCTAAGCTAAATTCCAACTTAATTGCATGAAATCTCCATTAAATTAAATACATAAATACATTTGACACTGAAAAATTAGTAATGATATTCTACGATAAATAAGTACTCCGTATAAAATACTCTAGTGAAGTGTGAAATGTTGGCTTGTTGTTTTCAGTTTATGGTTATACAGTTAGTCAATGAATATAACTCATTAATTAGTTTTCAGTTGACAAATTTCTGGGTGCAGCTGTTGTTTATAATATGTTTGTAAAAATGCCCAAATCAACTCTACTATTACTTCCAAATAGCAGTGATAAATGATAATGTCCTTTCAAGGTGGAGGATAAATGGCTTAATTATTTCTCGGAAATTGTACTACCCCATATATCATTATATCTGATCACTGATCATTTAAAAGAAGTAATGGTAATCTACTATTCTAATATTTTGTCTCTGTGATAATTGAAGAGTTAATACAATCTCTTGAATATTTATATACAAGTATATATATATATATATATATATATATATATATATATATATATATATATATATATATATATATATATATATATATATAGAGTGCTCTTCTCATCAGGCCGGCCTGACGGGATGCTCCGTCCGGCCGAGCCCATTTGGGCACCTTCCCGGTGGAATTTTTTGATGAAATTTTTTGAGCATGTTCCCCATCAAGTCTAGTTTGTCCATACCAAATTTCAGCTCAAAATTCGATCGGGAAGGCATTCAAATCATTTTTTGAAGTTGACTGCGTCAAAATATACATATAAAACTGCAGTCAACTTCAAAAAATGATTTGAATGCCTTCCCGATCGAATTTTGAGCTGAAATTTGGTATGGACAAACTAGACTTGATGAGGAACATGCTCAAAAAATTTCATCAAAAAATTCCACCGGGAAGGTGCCCAAACGGGCTCGGCCGGACGGAGCAGCCCGTCAGGCCGGCCTGACATGAACATTCCTCTATATATATATATATATATTAGTAAATGTCAAAAAGTAGTAAGTTTAGTTTTTTTCTTCATAGCTTAATAGCTTAATGCAAGACATCGTTGACACATTTCAAGAACCCTTGTTCTTGAAAATATGTGTCTATAAGCGATGTGTGTTGAAATGCATCAATTGAGTATATATATTGAAGGAATAGCATGCAAGCCTATTCCGGACGTATTGAGATAACCAAATTTATGTGTAATTAAGGTGTTGACTCCTTCCTTGGCTAGAAAAACTAAATAATGCTGACAGTTAGATACATTAACAAGCCCAGCTTGACTATGAGTATGTAAGTTCAGTGAAAAGCCTTCTAAATAGGCAAGTGGTGGCCTTTGCTTCAAGAATGGGCTCCCTCAAGGCTTCAGGGATGCTAACTATCATTGTTAGCCTTGTTATCTTTCTTGCTACTGCTCGAATTGTACAGACATTCACAAACTGTCGCAATCACACTCACAGTTTTAATAAACTATATCATATACAGAGTGTGAATATATAAGTTAGAGTGGGGTTTACATTTACATTGCGCAAGTCTTCTAATATAAAGTAAAATAGACAGTGCAAAATATGATATACATAACAATATATGGACCAATGGTAGCCCTTTTTTCATTAGCCAGGATTTTCTAAATTCGTCTTAGTTCCATTGATTGCAAGTGACAATATATTTTCATGCATTGTTCTCCAGCTTGGAGCTGGATCATTTTTGTTACGTCGGTTTTCGTAACCTCAATCTTTTGAGTTTTGGGCTTGGTGAAGAGTTTCATGCCCTGTAAGTGTAAGTGTATTCCCTGTAAGTGTAGTACATGCAATATGAAAGATGGTTATCACTGCATTTGTTGTTGCTATCTCCTTACCCAACTTGAATTTGATACTATGAGAACCCTGTGGGTACCTATATGTGTTCTAGATGGGACTATCCCTTCCTGGAGCTGGATTCGGCTCGTGAGGAAGAAACATTGGCATCACTTTTGTCTTCCAGGGTTTGATGAAGTCTTTATTTTCTGTTAAATGATTAGTTTCCTGAATTAATCGTTGCCATCACTTTTGTCTTCCAGGTTTTGATGAAGTCTTTATTTTCTGTTAAATGTAAAATAAAACGGGTTGTTTCATTTACAGGAACGCCAAACCTTTGTTGTCCTGTTTGGAGCAATTTCTTTACTATAAATGTATTAAATGCTTTGATGGGCTTAGCTTTTGACTTGAGACATAGAATCTGTCTATAACCAGATA